TGGCTATTATAAATAAAACTGATATGAACATTGGTGTATAGGTTTTTGTATAAACATACACCTTTTGTGTGAGCTGAATGCCATGGTGTACAATTTCTCAGTTGTATGGTAATTTCATGTCAATTTTTTTTTTTTTTAAGAAACTGTCAGGCTGTTTTCTAGAGTGTCTGTTCCATTTTACAGCAAAGAGCCAGTGATTTAATTTCTCCTCATACTTGCCAGCATTGGGTACTGCACTTTTTAATTTTAGCCACTTCTATAGGTATGTAGTGGTATCGCATTTGTTTTTAATTTTTCAATTCTGGAGTGACTAATGATGTTAAACATCTTTTCATGTGCTTCTTTGCCCTCCGTCTACTCTTATGTGAAATATCTGATTTTGTTTTTTTCATAGTTTCTAAATGGATTACTGTCTTCTGTTTCTGTTGAGTTTTGAGGGTTCTTGATATATTCCAGACACTAGTACTTTGTGAGTCTTCTAAGGAGGCTTTTCACAAACATAAAAGGTCTGGGCAAAAATGCCGTTATCTTTCATTCTATTTCCCCACATTTTAAAGCCTCTCACATGGTATGCAGATGTTTTCTCCCACTTTCCAGCTTACCTTGTCAGCCTCTTCACAGGGCCGTCCCTGTAAGGGTTCAGTTGTGATGTACTCTAGGGAATACTTCAACAGAGAGACACAGTATTTTTAAAGTGTGTGTAATAAGGCAAAGCAAAGACCCTGGTGACACTGTTGGGTAAGCATTGGACTGCTAAGCTCAAGGTTGGTGTTTCAAATCCACCAGCTGCTTCTCAGAAGTTGAGACTGACTGTTACCGCCTCAGAAACCCTGTGCAGGGTTGCTGTGTTAGTCAACTCCATTGCAGCGGGTTTGTTTTTGTGATTTTTTTTTAAATAAGGAAAAGCAAAGGACCCTTCCTCTCTTTTAAGTGTTTATGTTCTTGCAAGATTATTATTGCCTTAGCTTTAGTGTGATTATAAAACTAAGTAATGCTGGTGTAATCTGTTTTATCACACATAAGATAATTCAGTTCTGCCAATGAAAGAGAAAGGATTTACCTCAGACATACTAAGATTCTTAGTTTTTGTTAACAAATATTTTAGTACTTCTGGCTACTTTTGTATCTCTAATATATTTAAGCTTTTTTTTTTAATCATTAGCTTTAGACATTGAAGAGTTTAGTAACAAAGCCACTTTTTGTTTATAATTTTACTTATATCAAGTTGCTGCTTCTTCACCTACTTATTCTTTGAATAATGAATACTTACTATATACCATGCACAGTTTTGGGTATGGGTAGTATATAATAATCAGAAGAAATAAAATTCCTAACCTGTTATGGAGTTTACTTGCATTCTTTAGCAATGCGTGATAAATAAGTAAAATATGTAGTATGTTAATACTGACTAAAGCGAAAGATAAAGCAGGGAGGGGCACAGGGAGGGGCAGAGGAGTTGCAGGCCTAGCGTGGTTAGGGAATCCTTCGCTGATGTGGAACTTGATTATAAATCTAAAGTGACTGTGTGCTCTTACTGTTACTTGGGATAAGTGCAATATGGAGCGAGAGCAGAGAGTGTAACGGTCTTGCGAGAGGAATGTACCTGGGAAATTGGAGAAATGTAGTTTGGCTGGATGTTAGTGAATAAGGAGTGGTGGGACTCTGAATCTTTTTGAAAATAGGCTTTGAAGATGGCTCAGATGTGGAGTATGAGAGAAAAGAAGAAGGTAACAAGGAGTAGGTTTCTTTATGAACAAGTAAAAGATTGGATTTGCTGTTAATTGAGACGGAAAAGACTAAGACTGCAGGAAATACAGTTCAATTTTAGATCACAGGTTAAGATCACACTTGCTTTTGGGTCAAGCCAAGTAGAACTATTGAGGAAATTGCAAGTGAGGAGCTCAGGGGAAATGTCAGGGCTGGAGATTTAAATGGCAGAGTCATAGGCTGTGGATGGTTCAGAACCTTGGGTCGGAGGAGATCTCCGTCCCCTGGGTAGCAGGAAGAGAGGCCCAAGGACTGCTGTGAGGGCCCGAGCACTCAGAAGTAGGCACAGGATGAGGAGCCACCAGCAGAACCCGAGAAGCCCCAGCCTGCCGGGGTTTATGCAGTTCACTGCTCTTTACCGCTTGTCATATTTGTTTTACATGTGTGTCAATCTTTACTTGTCCTTAGATCATAGTCCTAACTTTCCAAATGTATGTTTTTATCTCTTGTGCTAATTAGTGATATTTATGGGTCTTTGTATGAAATAATCAATGTATAGAAAATCATAAGGAAGTAAAAAGTGTTACATCTATTATTCTGCCACCCAGAGGCCAGTTGTTATAAACATTTTGGTTTATTTTCCCCCCTCCCCTTTTTTTGGGTACATTTGATTGACATAGTTGACAACATGTGGAAAGTAAAAGCTTATTTGCTAATCTTTTTGTTTAACAATGAGTATGTTTCCATGACGATTAAAATTCTTAATATTTTCCCTAGTTTTTTAACTTTAAAAGTTTAAATCCACTGAAGAAAGAACAGTACACAGCTGTCCTTACCCCTTATATATACATACTTGTTGATGTGTGTATATTTGTGTGTATTTATATTTATTTCTTAGGGGGGCTGAATCATTTGAAACTAAGTTATAAATACAAACAACCAATTGCCCTGGGGTTTTGGCTTGTGGCCACCCCATGTGTGTTCCTTAGGGTTTTTACTGAAGACTTTTTAGAAGTAGGTTGCCAGACCTTTCTACCTGTGAGCCTCTAGGTGGACTAGAACTGCTGAACGTTTTAGATAGCAGCTGATAACATTAACTATTTGCACCACCCAGGGCTTCTACAGACATTCTTTAACACTAGATTTTTTTATAGACATTTCTTATATACCTATCTCTATGGACATGCGTCAAATTGACACATGAATGAAACCACATTTTCTTTAGAAAACAACTGACTTAACAACATACTTATATACACTATTAGCTTATAAATGAGACTGTGTGATACTATATATAAAACTTATACTATTTGATATTATACAACATTTGAGATACTGGGTTTGACGTATTATTAAGAGTCACTTAGGTTTGTCAGTATTATTTGTTTTTGATGTTTACTTTTTTTATCATTATATGGGGGCTCGTACAACTCTTATCACAATCCATACATACAGCCACTGTGTCAAGCACAATTGTACATTTGTTGCCCTCATTCTCAAAACATTTGCTTTCTACTTGAGCCCTTGGTATCAGCTCCTTATTTTTTCCTCTCCCTCCCTGCCCCTCTCCCTCATGAACCCTTGATAAATTTGTAAATTATTATTTTGTCATGTCTTACACTGTCCGACGTCTCCCTTCACCCACTTTTCTGTTGTCCATCCCCCAGGGATGTTTACTTTCTGAGACCTTTTTTAAAAATTCATTTTTGATTGGGAGTTCATACATATGTCATTGCATAGTTCTTTTTTTTTTTTTATCAATTTATTGGGGCTCATACAATTCATCACAATACATAGATCAATTGTGTAAAACACATCTATACATTTGTTGCCCTCATTATTCCCAAAATTCGCTTTCCTCTTGGGTTCCCGGAATCAGCTCATTTTCCTTTTTTCCCCTCCCCCTCCCTCCTCCCCTCTCCCCCATGCACATTGTATAGTTCAATCATGTCAAGCGCTATTGTATATTTGCTACTACAATCAGTTTTCGAACATTGTTTTCCTTCCTGGACTCCTTGACATTGTCTCCCTTTTACCCCTTCCCCCCTCCCACGCACACTAAATGCTCCCCCCACCCCCTTTACCTACCCCCAATACTGGGGTTCATATACCGAAAAACAGAAAAACATATAATACAACTTCAAGAGGGTGACCCCTATGATATAAAACATCTATCCCTCAATTATGGTGGATAGAGGGAGATCACTGGAGGCTTATTTCTTAGGTAGTTTGCACAAATGTATTTTGGGCTCCCACTGTGTTCTCTAGCCTCTGCAAACCTGATCTCACAATTTAGGCTCAGATACTAATCCCTCCTTTGACTTTGGATTATGTGATTTACAATCCTTTGGTGACTTGATGATGGTTTGCTTCTTCCATGTGGACTCAGTTGACATCTCACTTAGATGGCGACTTGTTTGGAGACAAGCCTTTATCTGATAGCTGGACGCAATTTAGTTTTCTAAGAACCTTTTGACTACCTTTATTTTGCTGCTAAAGTAATGCTTTTATGAATGAAACTGATTTACTGGAATTAACACTCGATTTATATTCATGTAAAATTGACATATCTGTAGAGATTGGTATACCACACAGAGAATTTCAAGATTTGAAGGCTTACAAGAAAATGAATGTGGTCATATTTTTGTCTCATTAAAGGGGCAAAAATAAGCATAAGTGGTAGGAGATAAATGTAAACTGTTTCTGTAATTTTTGTTGAGGAAATGGAAAGGGGCCCAAATGACATGTCCCATAAACCTAGTGTTTAGAAAAAGAAGGCAGACTTGTTGCTTTTTTAGAAAACAATTTTATTGGCAGGTAATTCACATACACATTTTAAAAGTTGTCATATTAAGAAGAGTTGTGTAATCACCACCACCATCAGTTTTAGAACACCTTTGTTCTTGTACTCATTGTTAGCCCATCCCACCCACCCCACCTTTTCTCCCAACCTACTAATATTATCATTACTTTAGCCAATGGTGTAGAACTTAAAACATTGTTGAGGAAAAAAGTGTACCATATATGATAGTTATTTATACCAAAAGGTATGGATTGCTGATTTGTACAGATTATAAACGTTGGTGGCTGGACACTTATTTTTTCCAAACTTATTCCTTTTAAGTCAGTTTCGACTCATAGTGACCCGATGGCCCACTGCCATGGTATTGCCACTAAAGGGGTGAGCTATTCAAACTTGGTTAGGGTGTGGGGAAGCCAAATAAACTTCAGAGAGTACTTTGAATAAAGTTTCTCAACCTATGTGGGATCCTTGATTGTGTTCTGCTGTACAGTGTTCTGGAAATGTCGGTGGAATCTAGTCTTGTGGGCGAAGAGAAGAAAGAAGAAGGGGTGGAAGAGCAGGAGGAAGATACTCACAGTCCTCCACCTGCCATAGGTGACGAAGGTAACCTTGCACCTTTTTTAGGATAGTAGAGCGTTCTAACTTCCTCTAAGCTGTTCCTGTAGAAGTCTACATTTCTGTTTTTCTTTTAAGTTTATTTTCTCTTTAAGTACTTTAAGTTGAGAGTAATTATTTAAATTTTTGCTAGGAATTCTTCCAAACTTGGTATTTAGGAATTTGTAGCTCATTGGGTATTTCTGCATATTGACTCTCCCACCTTCTGCATTCATTTGTTTTTCAAATATGTGGGCTCTTCAAAAAGTTCTGGGGAAATTCCATTATCTTTTAATTCATTTTTCCATGAACATAAATTTTTTTTTTCTTAAATCATTTGATTGGGGGTTCTTAAAGCTCTTACAAAAATCCGTACATCAGTTGTATCAAGAACATTGGTACATATGTTGCCATCATTTTCAAAACATTTTCTTTCTACTTGAGCCCTTGGTATCAGCTCCACTTGTTTTCCCTCCCCCCCTCATTTTCCATCTCTAAAGTGGGGCTGGGATTCATAGTTCTTGGCATCACTACAGAGTCTGGCAAGAGTGACTTAGTAAATGCCCCCAAAGGGAGGAGGAAGTCCATGAACTTTTTGAAGCCCCTTTGTAGTTTTAGGAGGTATGTTTTTTTAGTGAGGAAGTACAGTCTGAATTGCTCTGTGAGTGTGTTTGTGTGTACGGTTGATGTATAGCTTCAGAAAGTTAATAGTAGCCTACCACTGTGAAGTGCTTGGAATATATAGGGCATAATTTTTTGTTCATTACACATTATTCTCCATTTTTAATGCTTTTATTCTTGATTTTCTTTTTCTTTTTTTCTTGATTTTCTTTTGAAAGATTTGAGGGGCACGACTTTACCATGAGGACTTAGCATGACCCTTATACATTTAACAGCAGCTCGCACATTATATGATTTTGTGGTGTGATACCTAAGTTCTTGAGGTTTTGGCCCTAGATCCTGCTTCATCACAATTGGGCTTTGGAGTTTTGGAACTGTCCCAGAGCCAGGATGTTGAAGAGCATACAGCGCCATATGAAGTGGACAAAGAGCATGAACTGCCAGTACCCTCTGACTCTGCTCATGCCAGGCCACCTGACATGGATGCTGACAATGGTGTGGAACATGTTTTATGAATGTTTTTTCCTATTCCAGAGGTAGTAGTTTTTTCCTTGATAACTATCATAAATTTATATAATTTAAGTTACCGTATATACTTGAGTATGAGCCGACCCGAATATCAGCCACGGCACCTAATTTTACCACAAAAACTACATTAAAAATGTGCTGAAAAACTCGGCTTATACACAAGCATGTATGGTAATCTAGTGAGCTATGCAGTACTGGCAGCAGAATTGCTTGATTTTACTACTTGTCACTTATTTCAGATTGAGGGATTTTTTTTTAAATAGGCTATTACCTTCCTTTTTGGGATGATGCCTACATGCACTTTCAGATTGGACTTCTTTGTATTGTAATCTTTTTCTTTTAAAAGTTTTGGGACTGCTTTTCATACTTTGAAAAATTAAAAATTTTCTGTCTTCTAAAACTTCAAACAGTGAAACATGGAGAACACTCCAATGAGGAAATCCCTGTGACAGGATTTCCCAGCAGGGAAGTCCCCATGGTAGGAGAGACCAGTAAGGACCCACATGCTGTGGAAGAGCAAAATCCAGCACCTACACGGTAAGCCATGCTCATACATTTTATACGTTTCTGCTATACGATTGCATTTCATATTGCCAGGTGAAAACATTTTAAAAGCTTTTTTTCTCATGCTGGGAATACTTAGGATACAATAGAAGCATTGATTATCTATTAATTTCACTGTGTCTTCATGTTAACCTTAGGCATATTTATAAAGCCTTTCTATTGCTGCTACCACTGGTTGCCGCCTTTCCTCCCGTGTTTTGTGGAGTCACATGATTATTATACATGAGAACTTAACTGCTTTGTACGTGAGGATGACCCATATTGCTTTGGGGTCTCAGATGTCCTACATCTCGTAGTTTATGGTACAGGTCCTGAAGGCATTCTTTTTTTTAAATCATTTTATTAGGGGCTCATACAACTCTTACCATAATCCATACACACATCAATTGTGTAAAGTGCATTTATACATTTATTGCCCTCATCATTCTCAAAACATTTTCTCTCCACTTAAACCCCCGACAT